TCCCTCCCTCCTTCCTGGCTCAAGGGCTCATGTCTCAGGGTCCTGATCACCGGCCCTTATTTCCACTTCCCCTAGCAGGGGTTCTAGGCTGGCTCTGGGCCAGGAACCCACCAAAACTGTAAGGAGGGGTGTGTGTGTGCACATGCACGCATTTGTTGTGTGGGTGTGCATATGTGTGAGTGTGCATTGTGAGGGTGTGTGAATGTGCGAGTACATATGTGCACGTGAGTGTGTGTAGGCATGTTTGTGGATATGTGAGTGTATGCATGAATTGTGTGTGCTTGTGTGTGTGTCTGTGTATGTGTGTGCTTGTGAGGACTAGCGTTCTGGGAGTTTGCCCTGTACAACTGCACAGGGCCCTGTACTTAGAAGTGCCACTTGCTTGATTTAATGATCTGCTGTCTTGAAATTCTTAACGAATTTTGAACAAGGGACCCTGAGAATGACATAGTCTGTCCTGGTGCTCCTGTATGTGCATGTGTGTGAGTGCGTGAGAGTGTGTACATGTGGATGTGTGTGCATGTGTGAATGTGTGTATGTGCATTTGTGTGAGTGTGTGAATATGTGGATGTGTGTGTCTGTGCATGTGTGAGAGGCACGGATGTGTGTGTATGTGGACGTGTGTGCATGTGTGAGCGTGCATGAATGTGTGTGGATGTGTGTGCATGTGTGCATGCATGTGTGTGCATGTGTGAGTGCACGAATGTGTATGTGGGTGTGTGTGTATGTGAGTGTGTGCATGTGTACATGTGAGTGTGTGCATGTGTGTGCATGTGCATGTGTGCATGTGTGTGTATGTGTGCATGTGTGAGTGTGTGTGCATGTGTGAGTGTGTGTGTGCATGTGTGAGTGTGTGTGTGTATGCAGTTGGTGCTGCTGGAGCAGAGGACCCATCATTTTCAGAAGACCTAGAGGGATCTGGACCCAGACAAGCCTCCGAGGACCTTTTTGGGGAGGCCAGAGTAGAGAAGGGACAGTCAGAAGCATTCAGAGCGTGAAG